CAATAAGACTAAGCTCTAATTTCTCAGCAGAAACCATGCAAGCAAAAAGGCAATGGGAATGTAGATACAAAACTCTTAGAAAGAAAAAATTGCAACCAAGAATCATACACACCACAAAAATGTCGCTCAAATACCACAGCAAAATTGTACCATTTCCAGATAAACAGAAATTAAAGAAATTTTTAATAACCAGATCAACAGTATGAAAGATACTAAAGGGAATTCTATAGGCTAAGAACAAACAACAATCTGAGATCAGCACAAATGGCAACAGCACCCAGAACTCAATCCAGATACAGAAGTATCCAAAGTAAAACAAAAACAAAAACAAAAAACCTACAAGACTGAAAATAGGAACAAGAGATACCAATTTATAAAGAAGATAGCTACAAAGTAAAAAAATGGAAAAGTATACTTACAAAATGTTCAAATGGCAAGGAATTTGAGATAAAACTTATTATTTTAAACTAGGGAAGAAATTAATAAATTACAGGGTGACTTCAAAGACAATTAATATGCTTTCACATCAAAACAAGAAAAAGGAAAACCATAAAGATTTAGTAAACATTAAACAACATCAATGAAAAAAAAAATGACAGGAAAAAGCACAAACAAAATGAACTCAGCATAGAAAATTATGTGTAACAAAGAAACCAGTGGCACCACAAAAATTAAAAACAGATGATAAAATGAATACAATCAATTCACACCTACCGATAATTACACTGAATGTCAATGGATTAGATGTACCAGTCAAAAGACAGAGAAGAGCAGAATCAATAAAAGAAAACACAGGATCCTTCAATATGCTATCCATAAGAAACACACTTTACACACAAAGACAAAAACATACTGAAAATCCAAAGACGGGGAAAAAAAACAAACATATATATAAAGCTAATGGGAATAAAAAATGAGCAGGAGTGGCAACATTAATTTTTGATAGACTAGATTTTAAGGCTGGGCTGGGGAACCTTTTCTCTGCCAAGTGCCATTTGTATATTTATAACATCATTTAATGAATTAAATGATGTTATAAATATGAATTCAAATTAATCATTTAAATTCATTAAATTTATGTTACTATGAAGAAAACGCCTAGATTTATTGAATTGCAAGTCCTGCCTACGGTTGCCTTGGCAGGGCCAGACCACATCATTTTGTGGGCTTATACGGCCTCCGGGCAAGTCGTTCTCCATACCTGCTTTAAGGCAAAAACCAGCATAAGATAAAAATAAGGACAAAGCATCTTTTGAACAAGAGGACATAACCATAGTAAATATCTATGCTTCCAAAGAAAGAAGTTTTCATTTATAAGAAACATTCTTTGAAGGATAACAGGGTGGGAGGATAGGGAGAGTAAATAACTGAGTAGAGGGTAGACACATGTTAACTGGGCTGGTGGGGAATGCAATAAACACCATACCAAAGAAGAAATTCTGATACAAATAGGCATATGAAAAGAGGCTCAAAATCATGCCATTTAGAAATTGCAAATTCAAACAACCATGAGATATTACTAAACACCTCCCCAAAGACCTGCTGCCATTGTTAACTTTAACTCAT